TCTGCAAATCAATTTACGTAGTTTTACATTAATCTAATTATTTCTCTATTTTGCATCATATATACTTCAACATTTACTTAATGATTTATTTATTTTTACATTTATCTTCATTTATACTCAGTCAGTCTTTGAAAGTTATTTAGATAGTTTTGCATCACAACTAATGTTGTGATGCAAAACTGTAGATATTAATTAATTAATTAATTGTTCTGTTTTTGCATTTACATATTATTTCTCCATATGAATTTATGTAGCTATCTAATTATTTCTAGATTTTACATTTATATGTATCTATTTACTTATTCAGACTTGTGCCATTATTGCTCATTCTTTCACTGGCAGCTGGGAAAACTAATCAAGAGCAAATAGATTTTTATAATAATGGACTTATATGTTGTAGGAGGGATAACAGGAATTATACATTCACACGCTTATTACACACACACTGAATTCAGCTTATTTGGGTTTTTCCAAATAAGCTGAATTTAGGCGTCACACCTGTAATTCTTAAGTTGGAGTAGGATGTTCAACATCTTTCTCTATAGAAATATTTTAGCCAAGGTCACAGCCCCCCCATTATTTAACCTTTATAGCAATATGCCATTAACAGTGGAGGGAAACAGCAGGAGTAGCCATGTGAAAGTATGATATACTGTTAAACTCTGTTTACAAATGTATTAATCAGTCAGTATAAGAGGTGTTGGTCTTTTTTTCCTCATGTAAGAAATGACTTGTAATATTCCTACTGATGCTGCTTATGTATTTCTCATAAATGATCAGCTAATGACTTTATATAAAAGCTCCTATGACAAGGATGGTAAAAACGTTTAGATATAAAAAGCAGTTTAGTGTAAATTATATATTTAGGAAAATCAAATTATAGACCTTAATGAGACTTTGTTCTGGCAGATGTAAGAAAAAAAACAAAAAAAAAGGTCCTAATGAGTGAATAATGTATTCATTTTAATAAAAGCTTTATCAGTGAATAACAGGTGGGTCACATGTTTCGATGTAACTAACAGTCAATAAACTTCTAATAAGTGCTTCTGATTATCCAATAATTTAATCCTGTTATTAACACAGTTTAAATTGTGTGTTTGGGGGTTGACTACACAAATTCAGGCAGTCTTTTTGCTTTAGTTTCACCTTAGTGTTTATGCATGTCCCTGTAATTTATGACCTTTGATAATTGTTTGAGTAATTGAGTAATGGTGTTTTATCACAGTCCTGGTGATTTTGCTTTGGTATAAATTCCTAAACATGTTTTCAGGGCAGAAAACCTCTGATTAGCATTATTATTAACATAAATTAATATAAAATCTAGGTATTTAAGTAAGTATTTATATCGTTCTCTGGCACAGGTCGCTCAACACCTGGCCTCCACGTATGGGGGAAGGGCATTCGACGTTGCCAAAATGGCTCAGGTTACTGGGCAGAGATGGCCGATCGTCGGGAAAAGATTGGTGTCTGAATTCCCGTACATCGAGAGCGAGGTAAAGTGGGACTGTTATGTAAACGGTTAAAGTCCCAGCTGTGTGTCTGAAGAGTGTCTGAGAGCTTCTCGTCTTTTTCAGGTGCTATATGCGATTAAGGAGTACGCCTGCACCGCCATCGATGTCATCGCCCGGCGAACTCGCCTGGGCTTCCTGAATGTGCAGGCGGCTGACGAGGCGCTCCCACGTATCGTCCAGATCATGGGCAAAGAACTGGACTGGAGTCAGGAGAAGAGGACGGTACGAGTTTACAACTCTTGATGTTTTTAACCCTTTAACATTCACCAGGTCACCGTTTGGTATGGTTAGATTTACAGAATCGTCCACATAGAGAGGCTTATTTAAAAAAAATACGCACGGCAATATGTCTGTGAAGGTTCTCAGTCATCCAGGTCATCGTAGTCAAAGGAGCTTGCAAAGAAAAGCGTCTGGAATTCTTTAAGTTGCTTGAAGACGTTTCACCTCTCATCCAAGAAGCTTCTTGGATGAGAATGTCTTCACAGACATTTAAAAAAAGGAAATATAAGGCCCACATCTTCTACTGAAAGTGTGCTTATGGTTAAAGCATAACCTAACTCTATTTCTAAAACTGTCACCAGCATCCTGAGGTGCATGTCTGCAGGTTAAAAGGACATGCACTGATGGGATTACACTTGTTTTATTCCCCTGGCTTCTTGCATAAAGCTTTAATCCCTGGTGGGTTTCTCAAGTTGGGGCAGGGATTCGTTTTTGATCAAAGTACAATGGAAAAGTCCACACCCTTTGCTCTTTCATAGAGGAGGCTCTGTGCATGCATGAAAGTTGAGCTATTTTAGGCCTTTATTGTTAACCAGCAGAAGTAGTGGGAGAATAGCTCATAAACAAGTCGGTTAATCATGCACCAAACAATCTGGTTTCTGGTTTTCCTTGTGTAAAAGTTGTTTCAGATCATCAAACAAAATTTAACGTTAGGTAAAGATAACCAGAGTAAATACAAAATGCAGTTTTTAAATGAAGATTTCATTTATTAAGGGAGAAACCCTATCCAAACTCACCTGGGCCTGTGTGAAGAAGTACATCATGAATTAACTGTATTAACCACATTTTTTGGAACCCTGACTTCAGTTTCTTCAGCTACATTAAGGCCTGATTACTGCCAGACGTGCTGAATCAAGAAATCACTTAAATAGAAAATGTGTGACAAAGTGAAGCTAAAAGATCTCAAACACCAACACAGCACATCACGATCTAAAGGAGCAGCTGACAAACAAAGTCGGTGACATCTATCAGTCTGGAAAAGGTTACAAAGCCATTTCTAAGGCTCAGGAACTCCAGTGAACCACAATGAGAGACATTATCCACAATTGGAGGAAACTTGGAATGGTGGTGAAGCTTCCCAGGAGTGACCAGCCAACCAAAATTACTCCAAGAGCTTCGATGACTCATCCAAGAGGCCACAAAAGAACATCTAACTCAGTTCATGATTCAACAATAAGAAAAAGACTGGGCAAAAATGGCATCCATGGGAGAGTTCAAGGAGAAAGCCACTGCTGACCAAAAAGATCACAAAGGCTCGTCTCACATTTACCAAAAACATCTTGATGATCCCTTTTTTTAATTACAGTTTTTCATGTAATAAATTAAAAAGCTGCAGTTTGTATTTACTCAGACTTACTAACTTCATCTAGTATTAAATTTGTTTGATTTGATTGATCAGGAAGGTGGAAGATACTTTTTCACAGTACTGCAGCTCCAATGATCAGTTTTCCCAAAAAAAGCCTGTAACATCATCCCAAAATTTGGTATTGGTAATTCTTGGTCTGTGATTGAGAGATTTTAATCAGCGTAGTCCTGGAGTATGTTTAACGAAACACAGATTAGAAAGTCTCACTTCTAGGATGGGTGGAAGTTATGCAGCCATAATAAATAATTTCTCCTCCCTGTCACTGTCATGTGACAGCGACAGACTTTCTTTAGATTTGATGTGGTGGTCAGACACAAAGAGACTTTTGAAGATGTTATTTTGAGTTTTGGAAAACCAGGTGTTTTCCAGTGTTTTGAGGTTTGTTTAGAGCTAAAAGACCTGATGAATCAGGTAAACTAACGTCGAGCTGTGCATTTTTAGACAGCAGCTTGTATGAGTGACATGTAGCAAGCTGGAGAAAAAGAAACATATTAGCCGTTTACACACATTGTAGTGACCTCACTAGACATTAGATGCCTCATTTAATGTTATAACCTGAGTTACAGAGGGTGTATGTGTGGATCTGTTTGTTCTGATTAAGGAGAAAATGACTCTGCTGATTAGTGTGGGCTCACTTTTTTTCCCTTTAAATCCAGGAGGAACTCGAGGCAGC